AGTTAGTTGGAGGGAGAATATCCTGACCAGAACCGAGACTTAGTCGCTGTTTTCGAACGATGACTAGACATATAGGGATGAAATAGTAAAAATGGTAAAGCGCGGGCAGTGAGAGAAAACATGCAAAATAGAAGCGCAGGACTAGTAAGGTAGGACGAGGATTTGATAAAGCCAGGCTGATTCAAAGCGCTGAGTATTGCGAGAGAGTGACAGAAAAGCTATCAAAGTAAAGGCAAACGGTAAAGCTAGACAGACGGAGAAGACCCTCGAAAACAATAGGATAAAACTATACAAACAACCTGATTTTCAATGAAAAATCAACCAAACAACAGTATTATATGTAACGTTGGTAAGTCCGATAGCGAATGGAGCGGCAAAGTGAGAGTATGAACGCGTGATATGAATCGCGCGGATGATAGTGCAGTTTCGAGACGAGTGCGTTAAGGATGGTTTAGATTAGCAAACAGATAAGAGACTAAACGTACACCTAAGGACTCAAGTAAGTAAACAGGAACGAATAGTTAAGTCACAATTTCCTAGACGAAAGAGGGAGCAAATGAGCCGAGTAAGGATTGGCAGCGATCCAAGAAATTAGCCAGATTCTTTGGCAATGAGTCAATGAAAAGGCGGTCAGGTGCTTGGGCCAAAAATTACAGCATATCACATATGCAAAGCGAGATTGTTGGCCGGCGTCCATGATGATGATTGACCTTTCCACTGATCATAGTTGGCTTCGAGTTGAGTCGATAGATGGCCCAGATTGGCAAATTCCGCGAAATTCGCGAAAGCTTCTCGTACGAACATATCTACAACAAATTTTATAGTTAGTTGCCAATCGCGCAGACAGCTTGCTTACCTATGAATCCACATTGAGTAAGTGGGACATTGCAAGTCTTACGATCGAACACTTCCATTGTCACTGGCAGGCCTTTTTCTCGTTCTTCTTTTGTCTAAATACATCATCAAATGAGGATAGAAATATACATCAAATCAGTATTATAACAATAAAAAATATTGAAGATAGATAATATCTTACCTCAAATCAGTATTATAACAATAAAAAAACACTAGACATATTACTATATTAATATAATAATGACTATGAAAATAAAAAAAAACAAGTTGAAAATAGAACAGAAGTCTCTAATTACAACTTTATGAACAAAAACAAATTTGCAAGTGATCCTACCATACATTTGCGCAAAAAAATCAAATTCGCAATATTTTG